TCTGCTTTCTATCCAAAAGCTGCACTCCTCCCACCTAGGTAGAGAAACACCGTGGCTGAAGAAAGTATTTTAACAGAAGTTAGCATGCACTTATTTTTAAAACATCATCAGGGCTGTACCTTTTAACTGAAAGTGGTAATGACTTTGCAAGAACCCCTTGCTACCTCATGTCGACAAGGGAGAGGTGTTTCACAGTTCAGAAACATGGTAGCAACAAATCAGCACACCTTCCTTATTGAAAAGGATAAAATATTAAAGGCCCGGATCACTCATTTAACCCCAGAACACTAACGCTAAAATCAGTAACACCATCTTTAACGTCAGGTATATTTTACTCAATAAAATATCCCAGATAAAAGACAGCTTTCATCAATTTATGTAAAAGTACAACACTGTATGCCAAACTGTAGTACCGATATACAATATCACCTAAAATAAATAAGGTACCATGGGGGACACTTTAAAAATGGCAGCCAAATTATTAAAAAATCAGGTGATCTTTAACAAGAGATGTCCTGACTAAAACTAATAGAACTGGAAACTTGTTCTTTGGTCCATCCATTCCTGGGACATGCTAGCCTTGTCTGGTGATGGTACAGCCTTCCTGCAATCACTGACAACTGTGAAAAATATGTCACTCTCCATCACTAACGCCGGGTGAAAATCACCTAAGAGCACGCCCTCTTGAAATAAAAACCATTGACGGGAGGAGGGAAACAAGCACGCCCTCAGTGACATCAGTGAGCAGCCTGTAGCTACCCAAGGACCCGTGAAACTCAGACAGTAGCAATACAATGAAAATCACATGACAAAAACTGTGTGGGTGAAAATCACCTGACAGTGGTATTCTAAGGTTAATCGATACAACCGCAGTGGTCTCTAGAATGAATGCTTTGTAAGTCGAACTTGGGGGTAAAAAAAAATACCGGTGCACCATTTCCAGGAAATAGAAGTGACCCACACCACAACTGAGCTTCAGACGGCTGGTTTAATAGTCTTATTTCCTGATATTTGGGCATCGCACCTCGGATTGGATAACAACAGCACGGCTCTACCACTGACTTGCAACACTGATGTTTTATCTCCACAAATAACACAAGCCTGGAGGAGTTCTGCGGTGGGGTGAAGTTGCTAATGCCAACGGTTAGCATCTACCAACCGAGACGTTCTCTGCTGTTTTCTGTACGCAAAACCAGAAGCTGATGCAGCAGATAGGTGTAGGAGACTATTCTCATGTGCAGCCAGCATGAAAAACTCAGAGGGGCTTACTATATTCAGAAATAATCATTAACCGCCCGGAGTGTGATTAGGAGGTGCTCTAAAACTTGGAGCACAGTTTAATTTGTCATCGCAGATGCAGTATCTGTTTCTGGATGGAGCTTTGGGAAGCAGGGTTGAGATGTGTATCTGCTCCACATACAAGCCCTGGCTTGCTAACGTGTCATTTACTTTTATTGAGGATGGTGTGAGCGCTTAGCCTTGCCTTTGGCACACTTCTCCTGCTCTGTCACTCCCCGCTGATGGGACTCACTGTAGAGTAGCTGAGAGTACATCACTGTTGGAGATGTGAGAACAAAATAGACCATCATAAACTACAGCTTGAGCCTAATAGATTTATTGATTTGCTTTGCTGCTACTAGCTTTCTATGATACAGTGGGTTCAGCACATGAAACCCTGCCGCTCAAGGGACTGGCCAGAGTTATGGGACCTATTTGTATTGCCAGCCAGGCACCTTTGTCTCTGTGTCATCTCTCATTTCCAACCACTAGTCATGTTGTTTTTTTTCTTTCTCACCCCTGAAGCAACTCGTTGCTTGACAGTTCAAAGCTTTCTTTGGACTCTTAAGCCTGCAAAAATCAAGTCCTATCAAAACCAGATTTCACACTTACTCTCCAAGACAATGAACATCACATCATACTAATTTGCACCCTCAAGTCAAGTATTTACATGCTTACTTAGTTTCACATCTTTGCACTTGTGTTGTTGGCGACCCATTTGACATGGCTGCTGTATCTTTTTGGGTGTCGTGGTGACGGAGCTCTAAAAGCAGTGATACTGAGCGAGCCTTAAGGAGCCTTTGCTGACTTGCAGCGGGAGCCTAATGAGATTAGTAAAACCAAATGCAGAAAAGGCAAACAACTGGAAAAGCTCTTGGCCATAAATAACCTTCCTGGTTTCATCCTCAGAGAAAGCAGACAGATAGTTTTACGTTTGCACAGCAGCTGCTCTCGGAGGACATTTTTCCATCAGCGGCTTGAACCATCCGTACTCCACATTCAGATATCTCAAATGTGAGAAATTCATTCCGTCTGGTGAACTTGCTGCAGTTTTACTCTCAACACAGACAGCCCTTGTTCTCATCTTATAAGACAACACAGGCTTCACGCTGGAAATGAGTCTTCACATCGGGATCCACTTGACTGAATGCTTCGCCTTGACATAGACAGTGACCCGTGAACACTGAGGAAACAAAGCTGATAACAACAGAACCATACTAATGCTGAGCTGAAGTCTGCACCTGAAATCAACCAGGTAGAAAAATCTCTCCCTCTGTGCTGCAATTACATTTTTACGATTCACACGGCAGCAGAGTGATGAGCCTCATTTGGTTTCTGTCAGGGCAAAAAGACAGGAAGGCGGAGAGAGCGGCACCTCCCGCTGAGCTGGAAAAACACATAAAAGTACTCCGCTCACATCTTTAAGGGCTGTTTCTAAAAGTTATATTAATATTAGTTTTTGCTTAAAAATATCAGGTAAACAGAACGCAGAGTTTCAGTTTTAAGGTGTGGATGCAAACAGAAAAGAAAAATATGGTCATGCAAACCAATAGAGATCATATTTTAGCCTAGTCATAACGTGTTACTAATGAATGAACAGATCCATCTCTAAAACATGAAGAATGACTTTAGTATGTATAAATGCCAGCTCATAATGATTTCATTTACAAATGAATTTTAATATTAGCAACATAAAGCTTGTTTGTTTGCCTTTAAGCAAACAGTAAACAGACAGAAAGTTGAGACAACTCTTGTCGTGAGTTGGCGCTGTAAAAACTGAATTGAATTTAATTGAAAGCTGAACTGAGGTCACTGCTGTGATACTAAAAAAGGTTTTTAAATGAATTTAAACAGTTTGATCTCAGATTCATGTGTACTACAGAAATCCTAACCCAATTATTATTGCAAGGAAAGCAGCTTTTACCTGCAAATATCTTACAGTTTTTACTAGTCTAACGCTGCTGTTACTTCATACTCACATCAAAAAAGCTTCACTAATGAATCGTCCCTTTAGAGCTGTAACCAGCAGCTCATCACTACCAGAGTGTGAATCTTTGTAGTGGAAAGTGCTTTGTTGTCCTTGTTTTAGACTTTTTTCTGTCTCCGATTTAAAACGTCTACACAAATGCAGACCATTTACCGTTCGGGGGATGTTCCAGCATGAAAAAGGTCAGCTTTTGTCGTTCGGGAGCAGAATTCATCGTTCCATCCTTTACAGAAAGTCATGATCTTGGAGCAACTAATCAAACTCAGATCATCACACCACCACCATGTTTGACTACTGGCATTGTGTTCTTTTCCTTCAATACAGTGTCAGTTTTAAACCAAATCATTTCACTTTCATCTCTTTTTGGGGATAAAGAGAGGTTTTTGTCTTGGAAGTCTCTGATGGATACCATTTTCCTCGCTTCACTCATTCTTATTGTTGAATCGTGACCTATGAACTGAACCAAGTGAGGCCTGCAGAGCTTTAGATGTTGCTGTGAGTTATTTTATTCTTGAATCTCTTCAGAACGGAGCATGATGTGCTGCCTTTTCCCATCATGCTGTCAGTCGAGTTCTATTCAAGTGATTTCTTAATTGCACAGGTGTTCTACAGGTACCGAGTATGAAGAGATGAAATCTGCGAGAGGGAAATAATGTTTCACACACCACGTTTCTCTTTGGTCTGACTGCTTATCTGTGTTTGTGTTTGCAAAATGATCTGTACTGTCATGGTCTGCATTTTGGCGCAGACTTCCAAATGTCAATCCCCAGAATCAGAACAGACCTGAAGGAACTAAAGATTACTAATCAGATTACAGAAATTATGTTATCAGAAGGCAGCATGCTTTTATTCCATCATCATGGGTTAATAACAGTTTTCTGATGCCTTTATGGCAACAGTATTGCTGTTTTTAAATGTTTTGCACGAATTTTCTTCAGAGAGAAGAACAAATGGACTTTTCTCACTCTAAGACAATATGTTTGATTTCTTACCCGTATGGGGTTTCTTTAGTTTTCCCACAGCTACTCACCACTGGAAAACCAACTAAACTAATGCTCACAAACTGGACATTTAAAATGAAAATCTCACACAGTCCACCTCTGAGCTCAGCTCCACCACTTTGTCCTTCCTGCCATTGTTTAAAGATTTTTACATTTATGTAAGTAAAATGTGTTTATCTCCCACAACAAAGCTGCTAATTGATTTCCTTTTGGAACAGACCCCACAAAGCTGGGCTTTCACTTCTACCTAAAACATGACGGTTGTTTTCTGAGATGAGGTTGACGTTTACCCAGGTTACACACTTCTCAGCCGCCTCATCATCCGTCTGCAGCTCAGATCTCGAGTAGATCACATGGAATTAAAGAAACACGTGTTTGTGGTATTGTGGAAGAAACAGCTGTGATAGCACAAACACGCTGAGTGACGATGAGAGGAGTGAGCACACTAATCCACAAAGTCTCATCAGGGTTCAGCAAAATGAAAAATACATGCTTTTGTTCATTTTTAGTGGTTGTTAAGCATATTTTAGACCCACACGTGACCCATTTCGCTGACGTAAAGTGATCCTAGTTGCTGGTCAAACTACTTTATCACATTTTTTTCTATGGAAGAGTAAATGTTCATGGTACACAGATTTTAAAAGTAAACATTACTAAATAGTCCAGGTGGAGACAACTGCTTTCCTGTAAAATGGTAAAAGTTTTATAAACAAAACACAAGAAGCCTGACTTACGGAGGAGAAGTTGTGCGCTCCACAGGGCTCTCCCTTGTATTTGCAGGAAAGAAGCATTTCATCCAGCTGGTGGCTGAGTCGGTCCATAAAGTCTAGATTGGTTCCTTCAAAGTTTCTGGGTGGCAGAAATAGCCTGAAGTCTGAGAGTTTTCTGAACCAGGCCCGGCGATCCTCCTGCAGTAGGTCCAGAACCATGGGTCTCACTGTCCGGTTAGCCAGCAGCAGGCCAAGCCAGTGGCCAGCGAAGTACAGGTCGCTCTTTGAGAGTTTGTAGAGGCGAACAGGATTGTTGTTGCAAACAGTGACAGCAGGAAAAGCCAGTTCTTTGGCCCATTCGGTGTGGACTCGTGTGTAGGTGGGAAAAGAGAGCCAGTGGAGCAGACGGTTGGAGGACCAGGATAAAAGCAACCCCAGGGAGGTGCAGAGGGCCAACAACCAGAAGGCCCTGCGGCCAACGGAGCCACCAGGGACGCAAACATGCCGCAGGCCATGTAGACGTGTCCTTGACAGCAGCGTGGATGTGATCTGAGCCAGACTTGGCTTTGTGTGACGTCGCTTACGTCCCTTCCTGATCATGGCCGGGGAACCCCTACGGAGACAGTGCCCCTCAAGGGCCATTGCTGCCCACAGTGCTCCTACAACCGCAGGAGAGGCATCATTTCCCAGCCAGGCCTCAGGGGCCGGGGTCCACATGTAGCTCCAGGATAAATCCACTGCTGTAATCCACACATGCATATGCGTCTGGCCTTAGAACCACTATTACCCCATGCAGGGATACCCACAATGATATGGCATGAACATTTGAAAGAACCCTTACATGAATGCTACACTCTGAAGTCCTCTCCTGGCGCTGCAGGTGTGAAGAACTCAGCAGCAGCTACTTGTTGGTCTTCACTTCATGTCTCACAGCATTTTTCCAATCATCTACCTCAGCAGGGGAAGAAAGAGAAAAAAACTGAGGGAAATACGCTCTAAGCAAGGTGTCTTCTACATGAGTGAGCCCTGCATCCACGGCAGTTAGTGTGACAGTAACCAAGAGGTGATGAGACAGAGTGAGAGAGAGAGAGAGAATGAAAGAGGAAGAGGCAGGGGAGGAGAGAGGAAAGAAGGAGGCTGAATACAAAATACTAGCGCCTAAGCAAAGAGGACAGAAAGCAAATGAAAGAGAAGGAGATAATTAAGGTAATGAAATGATGGTGGGGGGTTGGTTGGAGAGGTGTAGTCTGCTGACTGAGGGCTTGTCTTGTTCCACCAAAGTGCTTTCTTCTCCTTTCAGTTGTAACAATGTGCTTTTGAGCTTCGCTGGCTTGCAGAGGTGTTTGTCAGTCAGACGTCGTAATCAGCTCCTTACCAAAGTCAAAACTCTCATTGACAAAAGTCTCCAACGTTCATTTGCTTCCTGTCCCACATTGACTCTTTGACGTCTCATCCCTCCAGGGGCTCAGCTTTAGCTGGTTATTGGCTCCTTCAGGTGACAACATGCTGGTTTCATCTCGTAGTGATCTGCTGTTCGGCATCCCCGTTAGAGCCGTACCGGACACTTTCACGTGGACAAAAAGAGATGCACACTCATGCACAGCTGTTTGCTGCGGAACAGCAGACCAGAGCTAATCTGTTCTTTGACTCTCTGATCTCAGCATCTCACTGTTTGGTATCCGTCTCCCGGTAGTCTCTCTTCCTCCTCTTCCTCTCTAGTTCTGCTCCCGACTCAGAGGCAGCATCTCTCATCTCAATATTCCTCTCATGTCTTCGCTCTTCTTCCTAAAAACACTCAATCCAAATCAAATCTATCAACTTGGTATCACGCTCCTCCTCCTCTTCTGCTAGTTAAGCGTTGGTCCTAACCTTCTGCTGGGCTTCCCCTTCTCTTCCTCCTCTTCTCCTTTTCCACTTTGCGCACACACTTTCTTGTTTCTCTGCTCGTTAGGAAAGGCTTCTCTGTGTGTTTTCCTCCCTCTGTATCCTCGTCTTCCAGCTTTCTCCTTCTCTCTGCTTTGAATGACTTCTCTCTCCTCTGTGATCGCTCTGTTTATCCCGCCTCCCTCTCTCGCTCATTTTCCTCCAGTTTTCAGGCAGCTTTTCCCCCCCGTTGCATCGCTTCTCCTCCTCCTGCGCCACAGCTCTGTCCACACAGCCAGTGAGCCCGTCACTGATGAGAGCGCCTGTCTCTCTCTGTGCTAACTCGCACCGTCCTTCGCCCCCCTCTGTCTGTCTGCTGCAGCTGCTGCTGCTGAGCTACGAGAAATGACTGTTTGCATGCGATGCACAACAGAATCAGACAGAATCTAACTCTAAACTTTTATTTTCTACAATCTTAGCAAAGCATAAAATGTTGTTAAAAACCACAAGTTAAAAGTGAGTGCAAACACATATCAAGTAGAATTAAACTAATGGTGTAATCAACCATGGTTTTACAATCATTCAAGACTTTTTTGCATCATGGTTGTTGCATGAAGATTGTCTGATTCTAATGAACAAAATCACAGCCATTTAAAACCTTTTTAGGATGTACTTGATTGCATCTTGGACCCACTGAAAGTCTGATTGTAAGTTTAAAAGGTGGAAAAAAGATCATACAGAGTACAAATCAGAGCAGACACAGGTGCAGCAGTAATCAGAAGGTAAAGAATGAGCCAAAGTACCAATAATCAGAGCTACAGTGGCTTCCCACCTAAAATGGAAAGGCTTCCACCTAACAGTGCTGATAGTGAGCTACTTGCAGAACCAAGGTCTGAAAAGCATAGTACGAATGCTTCCAACTTACTGAAAAAAGATACTATAAAAAGATAACCAACAAAAACAGGGGCAAAATGAAATGCATGGAACCAAATATCAATTAACCCCCAGAAACCCAAATTTAGAAAACAACTGCAAAATCTTTTTTTAACCTTTCACATGTTGTTCTAGGAGGCCAGATAAACGCGCCTATTTACACATTTTAACAGCCAATAGTGTTGCAGAACTGAACAATAGGACCTATTAGCAATGTAAATGTGGTTTTAAAAATAAAAATAAATGGGGATGGTTTATTTTTGTAGACTTAAATCTGATGTTGTAATATTACAACCGTGGGTCTCTGGGGGTTAACCATTTGTACCACATAGATCAAAATCCTGAAAAAGTTTCAGGCTAAAATGTAAAAAGTGATGACCTGACCTGCCTTCAATCCAACAAAACATGTTTAAAAAAATTCATTCTGTAGTTTGAGCATGCCTGTATCTCCCTCTAGTCTACTCCAATCGCCCGTCATTAAAAACGAAACTGGAACTTTCCTCCTTGCTGTGTGTTCATATTAATCTAACAGATTAAATGTCTCCTCAGCCTTCATTACGTTCTACGGGAGTGATGCATCCCCAAATAATCATATAATCTGTGTTCATGATCTAAAACTTGCAGGAAACATGCTGGACGCAGGCTCCAGCATGTCGGCTAGTCATTTTACTATTAACTAAGAGAGTTAGCCAGAGCGCTTGGTGACCACAGACGGGTAGAGATGGGTAACTTTCACATTTTAATCGACTCGGTACCAATTCCCAGTACCTAGGAATCGATACGGGTGCTTAACAGTACCAATTTGATACATTGAGTGTTTAATAATTAATTCAATCTCTTTTTGAATTAAACATTTTTTCTCAATATTTAACCATATTGGATAAATATCATGATAAATAACAATTGTTTGTATTTTATCATCGTAGTGATGTACAAAATTCTTCAATATGAAAACTTTTAACCACAACTGTTTCTAAATGATGCAAAATAAATAAATAAATAAATAAAAACAGCTCCATGTACTCCTAAACCTCTTCTCTGCCTTCTGGAATAACTATGATGAGGAGACCATGTATTATAAACTATAAACTACAAATGAAACTAAAACAAACTTTGATACCCTACAATTGTTTGTATTTTAATATTGTGGTGTTTCACAAACTAAACCCAGCTCCATGTACTCCTTTTCCTCTCCTTTCCCCTCTGGACAAACTGTGTGATGAGTGGGTCCTTGTAATCTTAAAAACAGCTAACTAAACAGAAGCAAACATCTTTGCTGTGAACTAAATTTACTGTGTATCTTCATTCCTTTTGCTGTTCATTTTCAAACTGTTGATTTTTCATACTCTGAAGTTGGAATTTCCGAGTTACAAGGAAGAAGCGAACTTACCGTTAGCTGATAGCAGCTAAAGTAACATGCTAATATTATCTTAAACAGTTTATTTACCTGCTGGAGCAGATTAAGATGATGATGTCTCAGATTGTTGTAGCTGTTGTCATCATCACCCAGTCACCCATCATATTTAGTGAAGCGAAGCCAAACTGTAGAGTTCTTTCTCTCTGCCTACTCAAAATGTCCAAGTACCGAGGGGAGAGCGAACGCACAATTAGCAGATAGCAACGGAAGCTCAAATATCAAGCTAACATTATCTTAAATTTACTTTCTGGCACCGATGAACACGTTACAATAAATGCTAATCAGGTGTAGCTTGCCTGTTCTGAGGTGTAACATGGATCGCAGGCTGCTGCTGCGTGCAAGATACGTGACTTCATGGGAGCAGGCCAGATACTCTGAATTGTGGTATTCTGGCTAGAGAGGGCAGAGAGGGCTGGGTGACATTTAATTAACCCTGTAAAGGGTCATTTTAGCACATACTGACTCAAGAAAATGATATAAAAATATGAAAACGTTGCACAGTTCCCTTTAAAGCAAGTATCTAACAGGGCTGCAACTGATGGCAACAAATAGTGAATAGTGTTTAGGAAAAAAATTCAAGGACTCTTATTTCTTAGTGTGTGGTATTTTGAAATAAATAGTCAAAATAAAAATAAAAAAAACATCCCTTGCAGACATCTTAAAGCCATCTAGAAGGGTTCCCAATTTAGTTTTTAAAAATCAGGAAATGCACAAAATTTGAGATGACTTATGGAGAGGTTGGAGACCAAAAATAAAAAAAGAAGGATACATTGCATGCATATATGATTAAGAAACATTGTAACTAAATTACATCCCGGTGACCTATCCATTTACTGGAAAACAACTTCCTGGAAGAGCATCATTATTAGATTATTATGACTTCTGAAATTGCTCACATTCATTGGCCTTCAAGATTCTCTTTCCCTTGGGAGGGCCTGCTCCTCCTTGAAGAAACAAAGCTTCAAAATGTCAGAATAGTTATGTTCACTTGCCATCTGCCCATTTAGGAGAAAAGCCCGACCCCCTTCTGGGCAATCTACACATTTTTCCAGTTGATGCAGGGCTTGATCCATAGAAAGGAAGAATTCAGGATACAGGAGGGGAGGGAGGAGGGCAATGAGGATTTTTTTTTTGTTTTTTGTTTTTTTTTTTGCTGGAGGGTCATCTTGAACTTCTTGATAAATTATGATGTTAAGATGAGGCCATATAATCCAGATATTACAAAGTTTTATTTAACATCCTCGTTATTACAAGATACAGTCCCTTTATTTTTCCTTGCACTGAGGTAAATGTTTCTGTACTCTCTTTTATTTCTAGTGTAAAGCTTCTTTTATAAAAAATAAACACACATTACAATTTTTGCTATTTAGTAATAAAACCATGCATGTATCACATCTGTCAATGAGCATTTTTAACAGAGGAGTTAAGAACACTTCATTACAGCAAATACATTCAAAGCTCTTCACCATTTAGTGTCTTAATAACTGTTTCGTAAATTCACTCATTACCACTCACTGTTCGTCTGTCTCCACAAATGACACCAATGAGGTTTTCCTTTTTTGATTTCTTCATTAACACCGTCATGTCTCTTCAACAAACATGTTTAATACGCTGGCAGTTCACGGCACCTTTACATAATCGTGACTGGCCCTACTTTGCATAGGAATGGGTGATTTCTCTGGGTGATTTCTCAAATAATCAGTGTTGGGCAAGTTACTTCAAAACTGTAATGCATTATTTATTACTTGTTACCCTCATTTTAATGTAATTGATTACATTACAATATTACTGATTTTAAAATGTAAGGCATTACACTACTTTTGCATTACTTTCAGTTACTTTCACCAAAACAATTTCAATACGAAATAAGTCATGTGACGCTCAGTGAACTCATGACACATCCAGAGGAAGGTGATGTGGTGTCTGAGCTAGGATTGCTGTTAAAAACAGTCAGATATAATAACAGTTCTTTATTAAATAAAAGCAACAACAATCTGTTCTCTCAGCACGCTGCCATCTTAGATTAAATGAGCAGGATGTGAGGTGGTGGGGGCTCCAAGCCTATATTTGCCTTGGTCCCCAAATGCCTTGATACGGCCCTGGATGTGGGACTGACTTCTGGTGTGATCTGATTCTATCACATGTATAAATATTAAATGCTTATATATTATTGCTTTTCACTGGTAAAAATGTCTATTGGGGATAAATCTACCTACTTTTTTTCTTTTCAAGCACTTTGCTTTGTTTTCTTGATTTTTATTCTCTGTCCTTTCTCTCCCTAACCTTCCTGCATGCTGCATGTTTTCTCCGTCTTCCAGAAAAACTGTTTCCTAGATTTCCTCCTTTTTAACTATTCAGCCAAAGGGATCTACCGAACGCAAAAAAATAAAAAGAAAGCTTAATATGCGCTGCGCTCCAGCAGCAATGAGTTGAAATCACCGGGCGAGGGCACAGATTATGAACTCAGCTGAGGCAAAGCACGTCAGAAAAGTACAGAAAGTACAGAGAATATGGGCTGATATGAACGATCGCAAGTTAATTATTTTGTTTTGGTGGAGTGATTTTGTGAATATAACAGCGGCCGCGCGCAGGACACAGCTGGAGTATTTGAGCCGTTACCGCTGCGTCCTCTCTGCTCATAGAATGCCCGCAAAGCTGAGTCCATAGAGCTCCGGACCCCACGTGACTCTCAGTTAGTGGACGCCATTTTGGCATGCAAAAAAGGTAAACAAACACGGATGTAACCATGAACATGAACGGGATCCGCTTGGATTTTACTTCGTCGGAGTTTACTTCACACTTTAAAACAGAAGAAATCGTTTTATATAGTCAGAAATTAAATAGACTAAACATCTCCGACCCTTACCGTGCCCCTGGGATACTTTTTAAAAACGCCAGAAGCTGTCGGAGCGGACGTCTTATCGGCACAACACCGGACCTGACCGGGGAACCCCTTGGGATTTACCCGGAGGAGCTGGCTCCGGCGGCTGGGGAGAGGGAAGTCACGCTACTGCCCCCGCAACCCGACTCCGGATACGCGGATGAAAATGGATGGATGGACGGACAAATAACAGATTTACACGTAAGTAGTCTCGGTGAGACAGATAATAGCAATCCAAAGTGCTTTTTATGTATGATCTGACAAATGATCAACCATTGCTTAAAAATGAAATACTGCTTAGCCAACTCACGAGGCAACGTTTTACGTGATGTTTACTTGTTGCTATGAGTAACAAGACAGAAAAAGCCACGCCAAAATAAGTTTAGGAAGCCCACTAAGAATCATAATAAAAGCATTTAAAAAAAACACCATACACAGTTGAGGAAACGTTGGTTTAAGTACCTGAAATGAAGCGGTCGCTGCATAAGCGAAATCCTTTACTCTCTGGATCCCACAGCTTCATTTTAGCCCGGTCACTAGCGCGTTTTATTACAATGATCCAACGTTTGCGGCGCTCCGGATCTTGGGGAATCCTGTAGATGGCTCATTCCTTATGTCGTCCGCGTCTGTTCTGCATCCTGGGGCACAACAGGAATCTACCATATTTCCCGTTTGATTGAGTTTTCTGACAATAACAAATAGTCCAGCTGCCGGCTTCTGCATGCCAATATGGCGCCGTTTCGATTTGAACTGTTGCATGCCGGGAGAAGTGACGTCAACTCCCGGAGCTCTATAAATGACGTCATATATGTAGATACCGGCTCTTTATTTTGGGCTTTCCGCAATTTTAATTTTTAAGAAACCTACATCTTGATTCTGGGTTTAAAAGTGCACTGTAATTACCGTGTTACTGACAATTGTACCGAGTAAATATTACCATTTTCTTTCCCTGTAATGCCTTACATTACCACATTACAGCAAAAAGCAATGCAGTACAGTAATTAATTACTTTTGTACCGCGATACTCTCAACACTGCACATAATGGACATTTTTTTAAGATACAGTGATAATAAAGTTAACTATAAAAATAAGAAATACGATCGTTGTGTTGTGCTCAGAAAAACTTCTCCTTCGCTTTTACACAGTGACAAAAATGCAGCGAAATAAAAAACATTGTTAAAATGGTTTTTTTTGGACAAAACAGCAGTATTAAAATTGAATACCTAAACTGACCCATTTTTATTGGTGCATCTAATATGTTTTACAATTGTAAACATCTGCTTAGTAAATTATTAAATAAAATGCTAAATGACAACTATGATGGAAGGTCAGCCTGTGCAGAGTTGACCACTGAAGGCTGGTGAGGAAAAATCTTGGTGGGGCTATGTGTGGGAAGATCCTTTCTTAGTGCATTATAAGAATTCAAATGAACAGTTGGAAAAACACCCTGAGAACCATCAGCTCATAAACACCTCCTCCAGCAGCAGCTCCAAGAGGATTTCAGCTTTATCTCTATAAACCATCAGTGAGTGTGTGTGAATGTAATAAATATAAATGTTTGTTATAAACTAGTTGCTTATTTTCCTTAATAAGACAAACACTGTGGTTTTAAAGATGTTTTTCACATCTGCTGACAGTTTCTACTGAAGGACAAGATGGCAGAAAGTTAGAAGATGCTCTGAGGAAGACTGAAGCCTTCAGTCGAAACTGTCAGCAGGTGTGAAGAACACCTTTAACGTAACAGTGATTGTTTTATTTAAAAAATAAGTAACGTTAATGGGTGTGAATCATGGAGTGAGAGAGAGGGAGAAAGAAGATCCAGCACCTTCTAGCATGCTAGCCTGTACATGTGAATCGGTGGTGTAGTGACAATTCATTCAAACATTCCAACATTTCAGGTTCCAAAATGTTGCCTGTCTGTGTCTCCAGTCAACCTTTCTTGTTTGGAGGGGTTTTGCTCTCTGACGTGGAACACAACTCAACATCTGAAGACAAACCAAAACTCTCTCGCAAGAGAATGGATTCTTCCTCCCCCGTCTGAATCACAAGAACCCATATTTTGCAGCAGAGCCAAAGACTCGGCAGCAGTGTCCTTTAGGCATCTTTGTGTCGTGTTTGTTCAAGCCAAAGGTTCTTGTAGTAAACTGTCCTTCTTATTCCCAAGTTTATATTGTCATCACAGTTCACAATCCCACCCACCGTCCAACACTCCACACCCAAGTCTGTGTATGAGTATGACTTGTTTTCTACGCCTGAAAAGTAGCTTCATCATAGGTGTTGGGAGTCATCTTTTCAAATGCAACTATAGCAAGTTCGTCCGCTAAAAGTCACCTATTCACAAGTAGCTGAACAGTTCAAGTTGGCCTTGCAGTTATCCTGCCTGTGAGGCTCTAATAGCAGGCCTCCGTTGTTGTTGTTGGTTGGTTGTGATTTCTGACCAGAATACACTTCCTATTCTGTTTATGTAACCATACATAAAAGGCATAACAGAAAATAATGGCAACAATGAAAAACCACCACATAAGTACACCAACAAAACCATACATTACAGTTAGAAAAAGACTTGTACACCCCAAAGACAAGATATCAGCAGAACACTAATGTGGAGTCATATATAAAATCCCACGCAAACTATGCAATAAAACATACATTAGTGAAGCAGGACGGCAACTCAACACACAAACAGGAAGGGAAGTGATGCCATTAACAGTGGCGAAACTCTAAAGAAGGCTGCAGAGATTGTCGAAACATCAGTAAAAAGAAGGTAAAAATAACACTTTTTCTGTGTTAAAAAATAACCATAATGCAGTGCAAACATGGAGATTACTGAAACTGAAAAGCTAGGAGAACATAAGGATAAACTAACAAAATGATAAAACTTAACACCAAGTACAGGATCTTACTAAGTAAATCAAAGAGCAGAGGGAATAAACACATTTGGAAAAAAACTGAGGAAAAAACTAGAACAGGAGAAGAGACTCTAAACAAACAAAAAAAAAAAAACTAAGAAAAATGCAGTGCTCAAAGGCACAAAAATGGAAGCTAAAACATGAAAATAGAAAAATTACACAAAAAATAAGAAAGTGAAAACTGATGAAGTAAAAACTGAAATTATCAGAGGTTAGGGCTGGGAATGGCTGGACTGACACTATAACAAGGGTGTGTGTATGAAAGCTGAAAGATAATAAATAGAGGGACAGAAACGCAAAGATGCATAGGAAAAGGGGAAAGACATGGGAGACATAGGACAGAGGACATGAACAATTCCACATTTTTCAGGATCCCATGCTATCCTTATTTATTTATTTATTTATTTATTTATTTCATTTTTATTCTCATTTTTTTATATCTTAATTCTTTTTTATCTTAAAATTAATATCATATGTTTACCTCTTTTATATTTTGATTGTTATTTTGAAGCGACTCGTGCTTTGTTTTTATTAAGCGCTACATAAAAAATCCTTTCTTGTCATTTGTGTGCTTCTGTGAAGTCTTTGGATGGACAAGTTCAGTTGACCAGATTCAAGACAGGAGAGAGACAAGTAGAGCCACTGGGCC